ATTTGGATGTTATTAAAGCTGAGTAGTGCCGGAGGCGTGTTTCCCTCTCTCTTTCTCTTCACGAGACGACACACAGTCGACTCACAAGTCAGTCCCTTGACCTTTTACTATCTTCCCCTTTTAGCTTTTTGCTATCTCCTCGTAGTCCCCTTTTCGTTTTTGCTCTCTCCTTTCAGTTAACATGGACGTCGAATTCTTTAGCTCGTGCCTGGCTGTCGCCCAACAAGAGAGCATGGGATCGCCTGTCTCTTCCACCACCAAAGACCTCCCAGAAGACACTCCTTGCCTACCCCGGGGCGTTCTCTGACTTCTACGGTCTCCCTTCGAATCCCATCTGCGTCTACCGTACAGGTGTCGAGTGGCACCCGCGCCCTGCACCTCTGCGAGGGGGGCCAAAGCGACCGGGTCTTCCTCCTGACCACCTGCCACGTCGTTTTCCCGCCGAGCGCACACCGTAACAAGCTCTACGAGCGCAAGAAGTCCAGCCAGCGTCGTCACAAGGTTCTTATACTCGGTAGCGAAGCGTACTCAGACGCCCTCAAGGACATGATGGTCAAGATTGGGCGCGAGATTATCTTTGTAGATCATTACAAGAGAGAGCTTGCTGCGTTGGGGGAGGACGCTGAAGCACGCCAGGAGTTTCAGAGTAAGTTGACCAAGGCAGAGAAGTCGATCACGGCGGTAGACAAGTTTCACAGCGATATCACCAAGCACTGGAGTACGATGAACCAGCGCGCCCTCGGGTATCTCGTCCACTCTCCTCCCATTTCCGTCGGTACCGGTCCCGAAAAAATTTGCGGAAGATTGGGCGCTGATTGATCTCTACCGTCACAAGATCGATTGGAATTCTTTCAAGGGCAACGCAGTACATCTGGGTACGTTTCTATCTATCTTACTCGCGTTGTCTAACTATTATATCCAGGGAATGAGATTTCCGCCGCTGAGTTTGTCCTGAAAATGCACTCTCATCCCAAGGGCCGTTCATCCTTCAAATACCCCATCGGCGGCCTGCTGCAAGTTCAAGGCATCCCCAAGGAGGAAGAAATACGCCACCCAACTCTGCTCGATGCAAACAGTGAGGAGTGTCTGATCGTCATAAAAAATGGCAAGAGCATTGGAGTCACCATTGGTCGCGGAACTGGTATAGCGTCGTTCGTTCGAGAATACCTCGAGGACGGCATCAAGTCGACGTCGATGGCGGTCGCTATCCACCCCTACAGCCACAAAGACGGCGCATTTTCTGCTCCGGAGGATTCAGGCTCCGTTGTCGTTGACGGGCACGGACGCATCGTCGGCCTGCTCATCGGTGGTTCTGGCACGACTAACTCTACCGACGTCACCTACTTGACGCCCTATTTCTGGATCGAGGAACAAATCAAGAAGGCCTTCCCCAACTCGTACCTCTATGCACTCAAGGAATAGGTCGCGTCATCAGGGACGCTAGCGAGGTGTCTTTCCCGGTTGGGTTCTCTGGGTTTGCGAGTTGGATCTTCATTCGACGGGCAAAGAAGTGTTCTAGCTCATCTCGTCGTCTTTCTGTCGTGTGGGCCTCGGAATCCACTAAGATCCCTGTTCTCTGTATCAGTCTATGTAAAAGAAATTATGTTCGTTTTCTAGTGGGGTGGTGTGCTATGGATGAATCTACTTTTACTTAGTCTTCATGCTAAACCTTCCCAGATGGGAATTGAATGAACTCAGGTATGTATTAAACACCGCGTCAAGCCCTGTAGAGACGATTCGTCTTGAAGAAAGAACACGAAGCTTACAACCTTGACTAGTTAGTGCCGTAAGCTGGATTTTACTCCTAACAAGAGCATACGTGTTCCCCTTTGGTGTAGGAGTTACTTTGTGTTGTGCAACTGTCTTGGTTTGAATGTCGCGAATACTCCCCCGACGAACTGGGCCATTGATTGAATGCTTTTTATTTTTTATTTATTAGAAACTAATTAGCATGAGAGAACAAACTCACGCTACCTCATGAACTGGCCGTGTTGTATTTTCCGTCAACGTGCTCAATTGTGAAAGCAACGTGGATACAGTCATGAAATGCAAGATGCAAAAATTCTCTTGCGACGTACTTCAAATAGTAATGAACTGCCACGTCTGGCACTGACATGACAATGCGCTCAAGCTGAGGGTCCACAAATTGTGAAACTGCTAACAAGACCATTTTCGGCGATCCTTTGTCCAATAGGAGATAAGAAAATGAATACTCGCAGAATTACCATGGGCGGTGGGCCGTGGCTACCTTTACGACGTCCGTTATTTGTCAGCCTAGCGCCAGTAGGAAACGTCTGGTTTTCAAAGAACGGAGATTGTCATCATCATCGGTGGCAGCTGCGGGAATTACACTGCAATTCTTCCTGGCCTGCCTGGACATTAGTAGATTAAATTCATACATGACCCAAGTATTAGGCAGGAGAAAAACAACCCAAGTTTTCTTTTTATCTTGAAGCTGTTCTGAACTGGTTACCACTTAGTGACGAGTTACCGACCTGGGAGTCGTGCAGGGAAGATGTCAACGGGTTTCCAATGAATCACTGAGCGCTCCAGTCGCAACGACGCAATCGGCATTGAAGGTGACGCGGCTGCGGAGGGGCAGTGATCGTTCAGGATAAAAGAGGAAATGACCGTAGTCAGCAACCGTCGGTCGCCGTCGGACCGACGGAGATGGCACATTCTCTCTCTGTGCCTCCACTAAACGTACCATTCCAACATGGGCCAGCTGTTCTCTAAGGCGTAGTATGAAGAAAAGGTACTTAAAGAAATGTCTTGCAACTGTTGGCAATGATGGTCCCCTTTTGAATCAATCGCACGCCGCTTCCCCTTCATTGGGATCGCCAGTACTCGCCACAAGGGCAGGTACGAATGTAAACCCAAGATTAAGGGTCCTGCCTTACGCAGTCAAGGTACCGTCTCTCGAGCATCGTTTCAAGCGTCTTCAGCGTTGGCTAGTACGACGTCTGGGTTCCCCACGCTACGTGAATCGATATCCTTGCTGCATCGCTATATGCTGCGGTCCTCGTTCTGTCGTTCGTGGGCAGCTTGGCAGTGTCCTTGCGCAGTCGCCCTGATTGATACTGATCAACGTTCGTCGCTTATCTACAGATTAGATGATTATGAAGTGTCCCTTCGGCATACTGAATCTGTGAAACATTCCCAGAAAAGGGCCGAATTTCATCGTCACGTAAAATTTCAGGCGGGATACGGTCTGTTTACTCCACATTGAAACATCTGCCAAGGTCCTCAAAGGCTATACGGGACCTCCTAACTGGGATAACCGACGTTCCGAAGATGTCTATCGTAACCATTGAGTCATACATAAAGCACACCTTAATTTTTTCCATCATCATTCCTTTCTCATCGTCGAAGGTTCTACAACCATGTCCCTATTAGAGCACGGTACGCGTTTAGACAAAGCGCTCACGCTTGTGGCTAATTTTATTTGTCATACAGTGCAAACTCTCGCTGCTGACGTAGACCGAGAAGACTCTCCCTATGGATATACACCATCGAAAGGCATTGCCCTCACGTTCATTATCCTATTCGGAATATCCACCCGTACGCATTTCCACCGCCCAGAATTCGGTATCCGTGGTGCTAAACACTGTCTTATCAGTGACCCACACGGCTCAGACCATTTATTTCCGTATGTGGTGGGCGTTCCCCACCATCATCCTCGCCGGATGCCTCGAGATCTTAGGATGGAGCGGGAGGTTTTGGTCGAGTATCTCTCCATCTCTAAGTAGTCCTTTTATGATTCAGTGAGTCTCTGTTTTCCGCTCGCATCTCACCCTCCGATCTGATCGTTGGAATAGAATAACAGCTACAATCATCGGACCTACACCACTTGTCGCTGCTAATTTTTTAATCCTTGGTGCCATAATTCGTATACTTGGACCTGCGTATAGTAGATTGAGCCCAAGAGCATGTAAGCGCTTCTTTCGCGTAACTATTCCACCTCACTCATGATGCCCACTTCTTAGATTCTATAGTATTCGTCAGCTGCGTGAGTACCGATAAAAAGCCAAAGCTGTTCGTCGTGCTTATTTTATCGATCGTAGGATATTATCTCGCTCGTGATACAAGGCGGTGGTGGTGGTATCGCGTCATCCGCTTCTGACCGTAATGACCTAAAAGGTGCTAAGCTGGTGAGGACACATTTTGTCTTCTAGTATGCTCATCTGACGGTGTTTTATAGGGCAGCAATGTCATGCTTGCCGGTATCGTCTTCCAGCTCGGTAGGTCCCTCCGTTGTCTTCGATTGCATCCTGACTTATCGGATCAATAGTGGTCATCACATTCTACGCCATCCTCGCTTGCGAATTCCTCGTCCGCTACACGCATAACCGTCCCGTTGCAACACTATTCGCGCGCAAAAAACGGAGCGATTCCCTGGTGACCCTCTCATCACCCAATCCCCCCCGTGGAGTTTTGGATACGAAAATAAAAATCATGATCTTCGCCCTCGTATTTAACACTTTGTGCCTATTCATTCGGTATGCATCGTTGACTCTCATGAACTTCGTGTTAATGCCTTATGTCTATCATTTCACAGTTCAATATACCGGACGATAGAACTCGCCGATGGATGGAACGGAAGAATCATTCTCACGGAGGTTTACTTCAGTATGTCCTGTCATTTTGGTCAATACGTCGCCTCGTGGCTGATACTTGCGACTCTCAGACGTTCTCGATGGGGCCATGGTGGTCTTGGCTATCTACACACTGAACTTTGCACACCCGGGCGTTTTGATTGGGCGGAAAATGGGAAGAAATCGCAGCGCTGTAGACGCAGAGAAGAATGATAGCGCGCTTGAGCTTGGTCGATCGTAAAATATAGACTAGTTGACGAGTGTTTTTTTTTTTCATGGACGCGCGCTTGGGCTTCTTCAGTAGCTTTAGTTAGATGCACACGGTGCCAATATATACTACACTGAAACAAGAATTATGAACAGATATTGTTTCGTGACGGTTGCAGTAAAAAGAGGGGTTACAAGTGCCCCATGGCTGAGTTGGTTACAGCGTCCGACTGTTAAGAGCAATCGGAAGGTCGAGAGTTCGAGCCTCTCTGGGGCAGTCCGTGTCGTTGTTCGAAATTTTACGCTTCCTTGCTGTTGCGCAAGTTATGGCTGTGTACGAAACCTCCAGGGGATGTGGTTCGATACCGTTTTGTACCAACCCTCCCTGGGGGTTTCTTACCGATACGCCTGTTTAACGTTTCTTACTGGTCACGTGATCACCGCGGAGCCATTTTAGGCCATTTTGCCAATATCTTCTGTACCACGCAGCGACGCTACGCTGCCTCATTGTCGTATGTCAGATACTCATGAATTCTGTCCCAATACCCATCAGAATCCTCTGGCTCTGTTTTCTTACTTCTTTATACACATCTGGGCCTGAGAATCCTTCCCCCAATCCAACATCAGCCACATCCTATCATCCATTGATGTTGGCAAGGATTTTTTCGATGCAGTAGATCTCAAATTCACTTGCCTCTTTGAAACATCCTCAACAGCACTCAAGATCAGTCTGCGCGACCGCATTTTGCCCTCAGATCTGATTGCCATCACAGATTCGACAGGGCATTGTTTTCTCGGGCATTTACAATCTCGTTTGTCGGGAAGAGGCACCATGCTTTGAGCTGCGGTTGCTCTGCTAAGTGATATCACAAAAGATTTGGTGGTAATATTGTCACGTGGTCGGTAAGTTAACCTCAATGAAATATGCTCCACTGACCTGTGGTTTCTTACCAGTTTCTTACCGGTAACTTACCGGTCCGAAACCGGGGGTTTTGTGCGCAACCCTAGCGCAAGCACCAAAGTGCAAGTTGCAACACTGAACTGAACACTCAGGACTCAGTCGTATTGCAACGAGTTAGAGAAGTTGTGTCTGACACATGTTCATTGTCGACAGCCTTCGGAAAGCATGTTCTTTTTTTCCAGTTCACTGCACAGTATTGAACGCGACTCTTTCCATTCTGTCAGTATGGCTGTGACAAAGTGGTGCACGGCACATTCTTCGATGACTTTGGAAAATCTTGGATCCTGGATAATGCAGAGTCCAAACAAAAGTCGACCCTCCTTATCAGGTAACATATCGATCTTTCCTTTCTCGGTATATGTGGAACTTACATCCCAACAAAGGGTATCAAGGCCCTCAGGGTCAACAACGTGTTTGGAACATTCAATGGAGTAGAGCGAATTGGTAAAGGTGATATGGTACAGGTAGGCAACGTTCTGCATGGAATGCCAGTAATGTTTTGTCGATACCAGAGGATTCAGTGAGGACTCTGAGATGAACCTGAGAGTATATGCAGATTTTGTCAAGCAACACAATCAGATTCAGGCCTCGACTTCAAAGACAGAAAATTGTGTTTCCTCAAAAAAAAAAACTGAGATGAAGAACGAAATCGAGCACAAGGTCAATTTCTGGCTTCATGCGGGCAAACTTAAGGTGAAGCAAAGCACCCTTTTAGGCTCTTCCCGGTAAATATCTAATGTGCTCTTAAGTATGCGAAATCGGCTCATATCATCGCACATGCTCAGATGGATCGATAGCTTTAATAGAACTAATTGATGCTTGATCAGACTTCCATTTTGTTGGGCACGCCAGGGGAAGAGAGAAACCCCGATCAGGCAGGTTGATTTTCATGTGGCTGTGCATATTGTTCCTCTCGTTTCTTTACTCTCATTACCGCATTTTCTACAATGGTGAATGGCATTAATGAATGGCCCTTTGTGGGTGGACATGGGACTATTTTGGACCGGCGAATACCCTTTTCCCTTTTGTCATCATTGATACAATTCGAGTCGAAGCACGTTGTCTTGCCACCGACAATAATGCCACTCGCAGGGATGTTCCCTATAAAGACCTCGCATGAGCGACCTTCGCAGCATTCGCCTCTCCCTATTTACAAGCACCAACGCAGCCATGACCACTCCCTTGAGCAAGACGATCGACATCTACGCATACGAATTCCTCCCCAACCGTGAGTCCCAGGTTTGCTCTATTTGTTAACACCCTAACGACGCCCGCACTGGCCAGGCTCTTGTCATAAACTGCCGTTTCGCTGTGGCTACCACCACACCAGCTATCCATACCCTAGATCCCACAGTACACGATATCAATTGACAAACTTCCACGCGCTCGGGAATGTGTACCATGTGTGGTACTCGGAGTCACAGCCTGGGACGTTTGTAGTCTTCAAGCTAGGGGACATGACATATAAGGATATCACGGAGAAAGACCTGACGAGGATCGATGCGCTGCTAGACGGCCTATATACTCGGAAATGACTGCCCATCACCGAGAAAAAAACGAGCATCGCTCTTAATTTGTCGCTGTTGCTATCATCATCCTGATTAATTTATGTTTCGAATCTTACGGTGCTGAAAGAGATTATCAATGTCCAGTCCGTCTCACACTTACGTGTAGGAATTCCTAACGTGCCAAGTGCCAGAAGCAAGTATTAATGAGATGGTGTTGCTATTGGTAGATGGCGTGGGGACGAAGAGTTCTTGATCGGGCGTGATCGAGACTAGACTTTCGATGTGATCGCAATCTGTCCCTTCGACTTGATGAAAGCTGGAATGTTCCCCTTGTGCCGGGGTGAGCGAGGGAAAACCTAGGGAAAGAAATTGTCCCTAGAATACCGCTCTGAACCTGGGCTCAATATTTCTATAAAAAAGACGGGCATTGCTGGCAATGGAGATTCGACATCCTGAACATATTTTATCATCGTGCCTGACGAACGTACGTCGTCAAGGTTATCGATGAGCTTGCAGACGAATCCCCTCAAAAGTTGTCTGTCTGTGCTCGGCGGTAGGGGATTGTCTACTTTGCACTGGTCGGGGTGCTACTTCACCGAGGTCATCTTTCCACCATCAAATGTTCGAGTAGCGATCTCAAGCATTCTGCCCCTGGACCATGTTCCTGCAGCTTCTTACAACATTGGACATGTCAAGACGCCTGAAAGCCTAAAGTTTTGGTATTATACATCCATCTGGTCTAGCTGTTGGGAAGGGAGAACATTACTGTGTAGAAGCGTCTACTTTTGCGCGTTCTACGCTATTCGTCTTCGGTGACGGACAAGACCACTTCTTCTGATCCAGGGCTTTCTGATCCTCTGGCTTGTGCCTCACTCGTCAGGCTGCGCTACTAGTTTCCCACATTGTCGTTCAACCAGTGAGTAGTGAGTGCTCCTCTGGTTGCCGTTCCAATCGTCCACTCTCGTCCGTTATTCCTGTAGTTAGGTTTCAAGGCCTAAGATTCTGGTACTGTACTGTTCTCAGAACCTTGCTGCTGAAATCACACAAGGTAATACATAGGAAACGGAGTGTAGTACAACAATCTATAATGATATCGATAACAATGACCCAGCTGCTCACCCACCCATCCTCTGAATTTTGCGCCACGATTTGACTGGCCCGGCCGACAGGGAGGTGTCCTCCATAACCACATCCACATCCATGTCCTCCACGTTTGCCGCCTCGATCTCTGGCATGTCCAAAAACCTCTTCAATGGGTCTTGCCAGAAACTCAACGCACAGTCGACGTCCGCGGTGTCAGGAAAGTTCTCCATTGGGACGAACTCCGGCTCGGCGTCCTCCACGGGCATTGGCGTAACACTGGACCTCCTCGTTTTTAGCATGGCTAGATCAGCCTCGAGAGCAGCGATGCGACGTTCTTGGTTTTTGATCTCTTCTGTGCGGGTTTTGAGGAACTCAATGAGGTCCGAGTCGTCTTCTGGAGGAGGGGGGTGGGAAATAGAATAATCGGGGGGAGGGACAGCGTCATTGGGGGGAGTAGAATCAGGATTTCCTGCAGGCGGCGGAGCTGTCCAGAGTTTTGTCTCTTTCCATTCTTCTAGGTAATCCATGGCGCGCCGGCCCGAAGCGCCTGGTGCTGCATCCCAGACCCAGTCCCCGTCGCGTTCCATGAGCCCTTCTAGCCACCTACCCAGTCCTACCCCCCCACTGATGTCTTCCTCGAGAAGCTGGAAGCCCTTATGTCCTTTCATAGCCCAGCGTTTCCAGTCTCCAGGCAATCAGCTAATAAGGAAAACTTAAGCTGAGACGAAACACATACCATACTTCACCGCGTCGTTAGCATATTCCACTTCCCCATACGTCTCATCAAATTCCTTTACGCTGGCCGGATCAGACAAGAGGTGATGCAAACGGTACCTCACCAGCAACCTATCAAAAGTCTGACATCTCCATCCCTTCACCATCCCTCCCTTCATAGCACTCCTTGCTTCTTCCAAAAATCTATCACACATGCGGGAGATATGGAGAATTCCGGATTTAAATTGATCCCATTCCTCCGAGCCCAAGACGAGGTGAAGGGAGGCCCACTGGAAGTGTGCTGCGAAGAGGAGGGGAATACGGTACCCGCCGGGTATCACGGTCGTTGTTCCGTCTGCAGAGGTGATGGTCACCCACATGTTGCGCTTTGGGGGGACGGAGAAGGAGTGCGTGATGAGATACTCGACGATTTCAGCCTTGGACATTGTGCTTGCGTCGATGTAGTCGAGCTCAGCGGGGTTCTGCCAGCCGTGGTCAGGAGGAGATTCGGCGGGAACTAGAGCGTCAGTCGGTTCATCCTTGATTATCTTCGCAGAAACCCGATTCCGTGTCTGGCGCGACTTTTTCGACTCGTTCGGAGGACCCGTCATCTTTCGTGCAGTCAGAAAATCTGGGATACAAGATACGCAGCACCGTTACCTTTTTATTAGGAAACGGACCTACTCGAACATTCTACAGTGAAATTGAACCCTTGTTTCTCGTTGAGAACGAAACAAAAGAACCGGGGGGGTACGGAATACTGGGTAGCGACGGTGAGGAGAGGAGACGATCCGGATATTTCCGTAAATAGCAGGTCAGTCGGCAAAAGAAAAAGGCCAGAGGAACACTACTTCCGCCATCCTTTCAGAGGAACTTACGGTATGATTTCTACCAACGTATACTGGATACGAAGCTAAGTAGTAACAAAAAGATCGATCTCATGGTTTGTAGAACGCCGCCCCCTTTGTACGATACCAACAGAAAAACAATGATGATTCTTTGTACAGCGTAA